GTGTGTGTGTGTGTGTGTGTTTGTAGAATCAACACCGCCCTGGTAAAGAATTAAGATGTAGCAACACGGAGACAACCTGTAACACAAGATAATCTTTCACTTCCAACCTATTTCCGTAACTTTCCACAATAACCACATTGTGTTCTGAACATACCTTGAGTGTTTGCGCATTTTCTTGGCAACAAAATGATCTTAAAGCAGTTTTACTGGAAATGTCTTGTCAAAGTTCAACAAAGTTGTAATAAGATATGTTTATATTTTAGTTAGAAAAATGCAGATAAAATGACAACAAATTAAGATACATACGTTTATATTACAAAAGTCTTGTTCCTACATTAGGAATATATAGAGTATCCAAAGGCCACTACTCTTAATATTTAGCCATTGAACTTCCCCAATCACATTGCTGCTGATACAACCAATAACTAAAAAAGGTACTGTACAATAAAAAAAAAAAATGTGATTGTGAATTTTCTTTAACGGACAAACAAATTAAAATGGGGTCTTTCTGTTCAATAAAGAATATATATTTGATTTTACCTTGAGTTATTGCAGCAGGTGCAGCATAGCAGGAGTGGAATAAGAGGAAAGTTAATAGGTAACACAGAAATGAATCAGGTGATGTGCAGAGGACGCAAACTAGGAGGATGGAGCAGCTTTTTTGACCAAAGCAGAACATTGTTATGTCTCTGACTGGGAGGGTTATGGGCCTGAAGAACGCTCATGGGTTCCATCAAGTTTTGTTGTGGGTCAGGATCTTTTTGACGATTTCTACCGACGCCATCCACAAGTGCCTGGGCCGTCAGGAGCCGTCCCTAGAAGGGGGGTACTGTTATGTCTCGTAAAATCTGTTAAGTTAATGTTTTTAGTTCAGTCTTGTATCCTGTTTTATTTTGTAGTAACCTTTCCTTCTTGTTGCAGATTACCTCACTTCCTCCCTTTGTGTGTTTTCCCTCCACTGTGATTGTCGACTCCGCCCTAATTGTCTGCACCTGTTCCCCCTTAGCCTGCCTATATATAGATTGGGGGTGTTTCTCAATCGCGAGTAAAGCTGCTTCAGAGCCACTATTTCAAGCATACTACGTCATTGAGTGCCGCCGAAGTACTGTTCCAATCTCCAGTATACTTGGAAATCTACCGAGCCCGGCGTACTCCGTTTGGAGAAATATCGAGTCTGCACATGAGTAGACTTCGCGGTCTTAAAATCCCCACAATGCTTTGCGCACGGACCAATTTCCCCAAATCTGTGGCGGAAGATGTAATGCGGGGCCTCTCATATGACGCACACCTGCACACTTGCTAGCGTGTTCCACACTTCGTTTTCCGAATGCCAGGAAGTATTCTTGACTCGCTTCTGAAGCAAGATTCTCGGCAGACATGTGCTACCAAGCAAGCGTACTCGCGATTGAGAAACACCCTCTGTCTCCCTTGTCTTGTTGCCAGTTCGTTTCGTCCCATGTGCCTGACTGCCAGCGTGAAGTCCATGTTTTTTCTGCTAAGAGCTAAGAACCGAGTTTTGGAATTAATTTTATCCTTTGCATTTTTGATACTATGTTAACCTTTTCCTCGAAAGAGTGTTTTTTGTTACCTTAACCTGTTACCGCTACGGAGAGCTCACAGTGCTACTTTTTTCAAAAAAAGACTTTCTTTTGTACTTTGTTTGTCGAGTCATGCTTTTGGGTTCATACTGGTTTGCCTAGCCGTGACAAACATTTAGTCAGAGGCCTCCTGTTATCTAGCATCTAACAGAATTATCTGCACACAATCTGCAATCTCTTACACCCTCTCGCTTTGTGTTATCCTCCTATTACCAAATAACTGCTGCTGATCTTAGTCTTGATTTCATTTCTGTGTGTGTGTGTGTGTGTGTGTGTGTGTGTGTGTGTGTGTGTGTGTGTGTGTGTGTGTGTGTGTGTGTGAGTGTGTGTGTGTGTGTGTGTGTGTGTGTGTGTGTGTGTGTGTGTGTGATTTCCCGGTCAAAGAATGTAGATCTACCACAGAAAAGTTATAAAACAGTGTAGTTGAAATTCATGATTTTCACTCGTGTTTATTTTAAAACAGCAAAGCACCCACATAACCAGATGGAATTGTGGGTAAGGACAATTAGCACGGACCAAATGTTTACCCAGAATAGAAAAATGTACACTTTGGTAATATTTTATTTGTATAAAAAAACACACTTATATGGTTGTAATAACTTCATCTGATTCTTAAGATTTTCTAAAAACTAAAGATAGTTAAAGAACTCACACAATAAGCTTAAAATAGTTATAAAGTCTTAACTATGCAACTGACAGAAATGTAGGTTAAATTATAAAACTCGTACTTTTCTTTACAATTTCCTGACTTACAGTAGTCATTGTTTTGTTAAGCTAGTAGAGGTATATTAATATACATGTTATTAAACACAAAGCAACTGTACCATACAAATATGAATAATGCCTGATATAAAATCATTGGGTGACTATCAAAAGTAATATCTTAAGAAAAAGGACTAACAGAAGTCGAGAAATGCAGTTTAAATGTGACAGATGATTGTTTGACATAATGAGTACAAGTGAATACATTAGACAATTAATAATAGCAACACATAGGCCAAAAGTAAAACATGTTTGTGTGTATCTCTGTGTGTGTGTTTGCGTGTGTGTGCCTGTAGCAACATGGAGACAACCTGTAACACAAGATTCCAACCTATTCCCGTAACTATCCACAATTATCACAATTACCACATTGTGCTCTGAACATACCTTGAGTGTTTGCACATTTTCTTGGCATCATGATCTTAAAACAGTTTTACTGGAAATGTCTTGTCAAAGTTCAGTAAAGTTGTAATAAGATATGTTTATATTTTGGTTAGAAAAATGCAAATAAAAGGACAACAAATCAAGACACAGTACATACGTTTATATTAGAAAAGTCTTGTTCCTACATTAGGAATATATATAGTATCCAAAAGCCACTACTCTTAATATTTAGCCATTGAACTTCCCCAATCACATTGCTGCTGATACAACCAATAACTAAAACATGTACTGTACAATGAATAAAAAAAAATGGGACAAACAAATTAAAGGTCCCCTATTATACTGTTTTTCATCAATATATTATAGCTCTCAGATATATATAAACCTGTCTCTGAGGTGTTTGGCTCCAAACACCAAACAGATCATGCATTGTAGCATCCCATAATCCCCTCTGTTTCAGTCCTGTTTCAAAAGTGCTGATTCTCTGTCTATTACTTCAGATGAAAATAAGGAGCCACTCCCCACGCCCCTCTGAGAGATATTTGGTAAAAAAGAACACAATGGTGCTCTAGGAGGAGATTCAGGTGATAAGGTGGGCGGGGGTTACCTTGGTTGGTTATTGGCTAATGGTTACACAAGCCAAAACATCGTTATGACATCATAAATTGGCCAAAATCTAATCAGCTCATTTTCAGACAGGTTTTTATATAAATGGATCAGGACAAAAAGAGAGCTAATCTTCTTTCCTGAAACTTTCAGAATCTCTTTACACAGAGGGGACGCATGTTTGTGTATAAAAGACATGAAAAAGTGGATTTTGCATAATTGGTCCCCTTTATGAAAAAATTCAAGAACACATTTAGGAAAATCTCCTTGAAAGAACAAAAGTGAGGCCGACATAAATATGACTTTGAAAAGGGAGGAAGACACCGTTGCTTCTATACCCAGTGAAAGTCATTACCTTGCTGACACTGATGTGTGTGTGTGTGTGTGTGTGTGTGTGTGTGTGGAGTTAATGCTCTTTTATCAACCATATAACATTGAATTACCTCCAGTTGGAGCTCTTTAGTTACTACGTAAAAGTAACTGGAGGTTTATGTAACACATGTGATCATTTAAATATATATATCAAGACAAAATAATTCAGGGAAATAAAGCAGTTCACAACAGATTACAGAAAACACCCATGCACACTAAGCAAGACAAATAAGCAAAACGGAGGAGTGCACTAGGTAGCACACAATGAACAGCTGGGTGCTTGGTGACTTCAAACTCAGTAGGGACAACTTGTGGGCAGGTGCAGCATAGCAGGAGTGGAATAAGAGGAAAAGTTAATAGGTAACACAGAAATGAATCAGGTGATATGCAGAGGACGCAAACTAGGAGGATGGAGCAGCTGTCTCCATGACAGAGTCTGGTGCTGCAAGAGAAATATGCAGCGCCTTTTTTTGACCAAAGCAGAACATTTAGTCAGAGGCCTCCTGTTATCTAGCATCTAACAGCATTATCTGCACACAATCTGCAATCTCTTACACCCTCTCGCTTGGTATTATCCTCCTATTACCAAAGAACTGCTGTTGATCTTAGTCTTGATTTCATTTCCTGCCGTGTGTGTGTGTGTGTGTGTGTGTGTGTGTGTGTGTGTGTGTGTGTGTGTGTGTGTGTGTGTGTGTGTGTGTGTGTGTGTGTGTGTGTGTGTGTGTGTGTGTGTTAGATTAGATACATATTCCAACATTTCCCGGTCAAAGAATGTAGATGTACCACAGAAAAGTTATAAAACAGTGTTGTTGAAATTCCTCATGTTTATTTTAAAACAGCAAAGCAACCCTGCACCCACATAAACAGGTGACATTGTGGAGAATGATCACGGACCACATTTTATGAAGAAATTACCCAGAATTGTAAAATGTACACTTACTATATATTATTTTTATGGTATACAAAAACACACTTATATGGTTGTACTAACTCCATCCGATTCTTAAGATTTTCGAACAACTAAAGATAGTTAAAAAAAATCACACAATAAGCTTAAAAATGGTCAAAGAGTTATAAAGTCTTACCTATGCAAACGACATACATAGACATTTAGTTTAGATAATCTGTGGTGTTTATAAAACTCATATTTTCCTGACATTGTTTTGTTAAGCTTTGGTAGTACAGGTATATTATTATTATTATTATTATTATTATTATTATTATTATTATTAAACACAAAACAACTCTACAACTGTACTATACAAATATGAATAATGCCTGATATAAAATCATTTGGTGACGATCGATAAACCTTTGTTTTATGTATTCAAAGTTCATTTGAATGCATTGATGTTATTCTCTCTTAAGTGAATGTATTTTCATATTGTTTATTCACTTTCTATGCATAAGGTTTAATAGCAGGTCTCAACCTTTTGTTTGTCTTCTATCAGCACTCTTCCGATGATCTGGAACTCCAGCTCGTTCCAGTTGAGCACGTTCCCTGGGGGGAAGTTTAGATGATGCACGTAGTTCTGGATCTCGCAGGGGGAGAGGACGTGGTCCCACATGTGGACATCAGACATCATGCCAACAAAAGACTGAGCAATGTCAAACCCTCCACCATGGGAATCCTGGTCCTGTGAAATGAAAAAAAATGTGAGCCAACAGCTTTGTTCTGCAATGCTAGGTTTTTATGATGTATTCTCTATAGTTTAAACAGATACAACACATCACAAGATAGGGATGAGTTGACATTTGTGGGAATGTATTTGCTGACCTTCGAGTTGGATGAGAAAAGCTTTATTAACCTATTGTATGACTATGGTGTTATTCCTCTTATATAACTCTATGCAAAAAAAGCTAGTCAGCACATTTCCCATAATGCAGAAACATTCCTGTGCTTTAAACTTTACCTGGCCTAAAACAATTATAATGTGCCCACTGATGCTGGATCCAGCGCTCATGAATCTCCTAGATGAGGGCTGTCCGTCTAACCACATCTGAAACAGTCCAGATCCAGAGTCCCAGGTGGAACAAAGTGAGTGCCAAGTATTCAGTTTGTAGTCCTGCCCTATGAAGTCCATTTTTGTATTCCTGATCCACATTTCAAACTCATCAGTTGCAGCTAGCTTATATATCCCAAAATCATTGTCAGCGGAAGGTGTGGACAAAGAGAAAAGGGTGATGTCTCTACGGAGATCTGAAAAGGACCTGTAGGCAAAACAAAGACATTATCACACATGATGATTCCCATCAGAGACACAGTATGTTCCTTTCGTTGTCATTTCATATTGAACACTACCTGAAACAGACGGTTACAGCACTCAGAACCTGTCTTGATGTTGTCAGCCTCACATGAGCTGAGTTAGTTTCTTGCGGGAAGGTAAACATTTGACCTGACAGATCTTTATAAAAGAGAGATATTTAAAATCAGTATATGAAAGTAGGATCAGCAAAAAGACATTCAGTTGACAAATTGGATCTGAATGTTTCATAAAAAGATGTTTAGTGAAGTTGAAGCCAACAATCAAATCACTTGAGTAATGTTGAATTTGCGTAATTTCTTTTATGACAAACGCATTAGATGTATTCCTATTGACCTACTGGTAAGTTACTCATATGATCGATATATGTTGCCTAATTGTTGCTATTCATATAAATCTTATATTTGATTAATCCTAGTCAATTAGATTAAATATGTTGTACATACCCAAAAAGTAAGTAACAAAAAGCCTAAATATAACAACTCCTGTACTCAAGATCCACTTGCATGTATCTTTCTTGTGATATTTTACTTTGGTTTTCTCTTTTTTAAATGAAGATGAAATGTTCACCTTGAGGAGTGGCAGCACAGGCTGTGACCATCAGCAGTAGAAGATACAACGCCATCTAAGACAAAGACAAACAAAACAACATGCTGAAACTTAATGCAATAATAATAATGATAATAATGATAATTCAGTCATGTTTAAATTCTCTATTGTGCATTGTTTGTCATGCTTTGATCTTACCTTGAATCCTGTGTCAGAGTGATTTGTGCAACACCGTACTGACTTGTGAGTTTTATACTTTTGTTGGCTTCCTTATGGTGGTTGTTAATTTCATGTTTTTTCTTTCATCCTTCCTTGTTAGTAATTTATGGTGTTCATAAGGCATATTATACTAAAAAAATAGACTTTGAACCGCTTAATCACAACCTAAAATCAAAAACAAACAAGAGAAGAAAAAACAGTAAAGAACACAGCCATGAAAATAAACACCTTATCTCACTTTATAGTACAACGATGACAGAATGCTCACATGGACTACATATATGTATTATCATATCATATCTCTAATACAAATCGTATCGTGTACATTATTTCATTTTAATATAATACACATATAATAAATGTACATTTCATTCTGTTTAAGGATAACTGGACATTTTTGTAAAACTTTTGCGATATTGACTTTCTCTCTCGTCTCAATTTGTGTTAATCAATTTATTTTAGTTGTTCAGTTGTTGAACGTAACCTTTTTTGGTATTCTATAATCGTTTTCTCACCTATTTCATTAGCTTTTATGAGTGCTTCTTCCTTATTTTGGTTCTTATCTTGATGTTTTTTCTTTTATGCTTCCTTGTAGGCAATTTATGGTGTTCATGCGGCATATTATACTTATCAAAATAGACTTTGAGCTGCTTAGTCACAACTACAAATCAAAAACAAACAAGAGAAGAAAAACCAGTAAAGAACACAGCCATGAAAATGTGTACACATATTCATGGTGTTGAGACATTACATCCCATAACTTTGATGACCTGCTGGCTTTTTTCCTGTAGCGTCAAACAGGTTTATATTTGTGGTTGAGTGAAATTACATAAATAGACATAAAAAGTCCAAGCAACATGATTTATAATCTTTAAGTTCCAACAACAGAGGACTCTACTGACAGTAACGCCTTCTCTCACTTTATAGTACAACAAGGACAGACTCAATGATCTTTATAGTGTACATTATTCATATATTAATATATTACACATACCGTATAATCAATGTGCATTTCATTCTGTTTAAGGATAATTGTGCACCTTCTGTAAACTTTTAGCGATTATTTACTTGACATGCCCTAAAATAGTTTACTGTCAATGTCAATTGTGATTCAGTATATTTTACGTGAGTTAACATTATAGTTAACATTAACATTATTGACTTAGTCTCTATGTCTCTAGTCTCAGTTTATTGTTGCATTCATTTTATATTTGTATTTGCTATAAAGTTGAGTTTTGTACCTAACCTTTTTAGTTTTTGTAATACTTTTTTATTTGCTTTAAGAGTATTGTTTTTTTTAAGTATTTGTATATTGTCATTATACTTCAGTTTATGAGTAAATACATGCATGAATCAGATGATGGAGATGCAGAGGACGCAAACTGGATGGTGCAGCAAGAGAAATATGCAACGCCTTTTTTTGACCAAAGCAGAACATTTAGTCAGAGGCCTCCTGTTATCTAGCATCTAACAGCATTATCTGCACACAATCTGCAATCTCTTACACCCTCTCGCTTTGTGTTATCCTCCTATTACCAAAGAACTGCTGTTGATCTTAGTCTTGATTTCATTTCCTGCTGTGAGTGTGTGTGTGTGTGTGTGTGTGTGTGTGTGTGTGTGTGTGTGTGTGTGTGTGTGTGTGTGTGTGTGTGTGTGTGTGTGTGTGTGTGTGTGTGTGTGTGTGTGTGTGTGTGTGTGTGTTAGATTAGATACATATTCCAACATTTCCCGGTCAAAGAATGTAGATCTACCACAGAAAAGTTATAAAACAGTGTTGTTGAAATTCCTCATGTTTATTTTAAAACAGCAAAGCAACCCTGCACCCACATAAACAGGTGACATTGTGGAGAATGATCACGGACCACATTTTATGAAGAAATTACCCAGAATTGTAAAATGTACACTTACTATATATTATTTTTATGGTATACAAAAACACACTTATATGGTTGTAATAACTCCATCCGATTCTTAAGATTTTCGAACAACTAAAGATAGTTAAAAAAAATCACACAATAAGCTTAAAAATGGTCAAAGAGTTATAAAGTCTTACCTATGCAAACGACATACATAGACATTTAGTTTAGATAATCTGTGGTGTTTATAAAACTCATATTTTCCTGACATTGTTTTGTTAAGCTTTGGTAGTACAGGTATATTATTATTATTATTATTATTATTATTAAACACAAAACAACTCTACAACTGTACTATACAAATATGAATAATGCCTGATATAAAATAAATAATAATAATTTGGTGACTATCTATAAACCTTTGTTTTATGTATTCAAAGTTCATTTGAATGCATTGATGTTATTCTCTCTTAAGTGAATGTATTTTCATATTGTTTATTGACTTTCTATGCATAAGGTTTAATAGCAGGTCTCGACTTTTTGTTTATCTTCTATCAGCACTCTTCCGATGATCTGGAACTCCAGCTCGTACCAGTTGAGCACGTTCCCTGGGGGGAAGTTTAGATGATGCACGTAGTTCTGGATCTCGCAGGGGGAGAGGACGTGGTCCCACATGTGGACATCAGACATCATGCCAACAAAAGACTGAGCAATGTCAAACCCTCCACCATGGGAATCCTGGTCCTGTGAAATAAAAAAAAATGTGAGCCAACAGCTTTGTTCTGCAATGCTAGGTTTTTATTATTTACTGTATAGTTTAAACAGATACAACACATCACAAGATAGGGATGAGTTGACATTTGTGGGAATGTATTTGCTGACCTTCGAGTTGGATGAGAAAAGCTTTATTAACCTATTGTATGACTATGGTGTTATTCCTCTTATATAACTCTATGCAAAAAAAGCTAGTCAGCACATTTCCCATAATGCAGAAACATTCCTGTAAGTGCTTTAAACTTTACCTGGCCTAAAACAATTATAATGGGCCCACTGATGCTGGATCCAGCGCTCATGAATCTCCTAGATGAGGGCTGTCCGTCTAACCACATCTGAGACAGTCCAGATCCAGAGTCCCAGGTGGAACAAAGTGAGTGCCAAGTATTCAGTTTGTAGTCCTGCCCTATGAAGTCCATGTGTGTATTCCTGATCCACATGCTAAACTCATCAGTTGCAGCTAGCTTAAAAATTGCAAAATCATTGGCAGTGGAAGGTGTGGACAAAGAGAAAAAGGCGATGAATCTACGGAGATCTGAAAAGGACCTGTAGGCAAAACAAAGACATCATCACACATGATGATTCCCATCAGAGACACAGTATGTTCCTTTCTTTGTCATTTCATATTGAACACTACCTGAAACAGAGGGTTACAGCACTCAGAACCTGTCTTGATGTTGTCAGCCTCACATGAGCTGAGTTAGTTTATTTCGGGAAGGTAAACATTTGACCTGACAGATCTTTATAAAAGAGAGATATTTAAAATCAGTATATGAAAGTAGGATCAGCAAAAAACATTCAGTTGACAAATTGGATCTGAATGTTTCATAAAAAGATGTTTAGTGAAGTTGAAGCCAACAATCAATTGTTGAATTTGCGGGTTTTTTTTATGACAAACGCATTAGATGTATTCTTATTGACCTACTGGTAACTTACTCATATGATTGATATATGTTGCCTAATTGTTGCTATTAATGTAAATCTTATATTTGATTAATCCTAGTCAATTAGATTAAATATGTTGTACATACCCAAAAAGTAAGTAACAAAAAGTCTAAAGATAACAAACTCCTGTACTCAAGATCCACTTGCATGTATCTTTCTTGTGATGTTTTACTTTGGTTTTCTCTTTTTTAAATGAAGATGAAATGTTCACCTTGAGGAGTGGCAGCACAGGCTGTGAGCATCAGCAGTAGAAGATACAACGCCATCTAAGACAAAGACGAACAAAACAACATGCTGAAACTTAATGCAATAATAATAATGATAATAATGATAATTCAGTCATGTTTAAATTCTCTATTGTGCATTGTTTGTCATGCTTTGATCTTACCTTGAATCCTGTGTCAGAGTGATTTTTGCAACACTGTACTGACTTGTGAGTTTTATACTTTTGTCTGCTTCCTTAAACTGTTGGGGAAATATTTTCCAAAGTCCATAACTTTGACCCAGTTTATCAGTTCATACTGTCCTGACTGAGCACACACACCTGTAACCTTGGCTGCTGTGCTCGTGACTTGTGATGTGAATTCTCCGGCCGATACTCTGAATAAACCCATCAGTGTTTGACATCAAAAGCTCCAACTCTCACCGTGACTGCAACTTTGCAGATTACAGATTGATCAAATCACCACTGTGAATTGTTATACCTTAGCTGGATCTCTTATGATCCTAAGTTTAAAATGCTTTTGACTAGTTATTGCCTTGAAGTAAATCTTTAAGCTGCAAGCTGGTTTTGATTTTATAGTTTGATAAATGAGATTAACTAATGGTTAAAGGCACTTTGGGATTTTAGTAAAACAATCCAGTTTTCTGGAAATAACTTAAATGATTTTCGTTTTTTCTCCTACAAAGATACTTATAGTTACACTTTAATGGATGCAAAACTTTATAACTTGGTAAAATATTCATTAATTTGTAATGAATTGAGATTCTTAAAGAATCAAACTCTAAATGGAGAGTTTGTGATTTTAACACTGTTTCGATGAAACAATACCGTTTTGATAACTTGACTTGACTAACATTACTTTTTTAAATATATGTTTTGTTAGATGACTTTACTGATTTTTTCTTTTTTTTCTTCCTTGCTTTTGTTTGTGTTACTAGGATACTTTTAGATACACTTTGAAGTGTGCAACACTTTACAACTGATAGAATAGTACTTTGTAAGGAATTCGTTTTCTTGGTAGAATATAAAGTACTTTTGTAAGGAATTGGGTTTCTTAACAATCCTGCTCCACCATTAAATCACTTAATCTGCTACTTCCAGGCAAAAGCTTTTAAAACTTGCATCGTGTATTAAGTCATGTCTTGGCAAAAATGAGAGTCCTGGGTGCTTTAAAACATTTCTTAGAACATTTTGATATATTCAAACACATAATGAACTGCAATGACTCACTG